ACACCCGGCCTAGGTCATGCAGAAATCTGCAATAAGGCGGAACCCTAACTTAGAAACAAAAAACTGTTTTCCTTGCACAGATACACTTTATACACGAAGCACATTACTGTGAAGCACTCTTCCTGTGACGGTGTACAACTTACTTCCCAAATGCAGCATTTTGAGGGGACACCACACCTCCTACGTTCCACTCCACCACAGCTCAGCCATGACTGCCACCTCACTTATAATGACCATCCTAGTACTTCCAGCTAGATCCATAGGTTCCCTGTGCCACGATATCGGTCAGATTACCCACCTCCTGGCTACCATGGGTCACCATCACCCATGCTTGGTACCACCTTCCCACTGTAGCATTCCCACCAGTCCTGGTCATGCATAGCAACAGCATGATAGCCATCTTCCCGTCAACTCCAATGCATGATCAACCCTTTCCTGGTGGCTCTCTAACTTCTCCTCTTCATCTCCTTTGTGTTACAGGCCCTGTTTTTTGCATATGCCGAATACCTTAGTCCCCCCTTCATGAGAACTTCAGACCAGGCGCTTTACAGTTACCTTGGAATCTTAACTAGGCGTTCAGGTGATACAGCACACAGTCTCTGCACAGTGAATTCTTCCTCTATATTCCCTTTTCCGAGGGCGTCCTAGTCAAACTGCCATCTTATACCTCAAAAGCAGAGCAAAGTCCATAAAGTCCTTAATTCTCTTCAGCACCCAATTGGTTACAGTTTTAAGGGGGAAAGACACCCCTAAGTTGAGTTCACATCTTGCAGCACCTCTCCTGCTTCTTCCCATATCGAGGCAAGGCCGGTCCAAGGCCCTAAATGGTTACCTTCCCTTGCATTTATGGGCCCAGGAAAGGGGCAGGGCCATGAACCCCTGGCAGTTGGTAACCTTACCCCCTTCCTAACCTTTGGGCAGCCTGCTAACTCACTACACCTTGCAGGAAAGTACACACAATAACAACACATTGTCATAGGCAGGGCTTTGTTTCTCAGAGAAAGAGGTGCAGGAAACTATTCCTTTGAGTCACCCCCTTGTCTCTGGTCCCTACCCACCTCCAAGCATCGTTCCCTTGGTTCCACTCCCTACCCACCTCCTAGCACCACCCTTAGACAATATAGAATCAAGTTATCATTTTGAGTGATGCTAAATAATTTGTATGTAATTAATGATAACAAGAAAAGCAGTAGATCCCCTGCAGCCAGCAACAATAGATCCACCCACAACAATAACTCCCAAGAAAGAGGGGACCCCCATAACACTAGACCCCCAGTAGCATTGGACCCTCTACAACAATAGACCTCCCCCCCAAGAACAACAGGTCCCCCCCCCAGCAACAATGAAACCAACCATAATAAAATATCCCCTAAGCAACAATAGAACTATGAAAGCACAACAGTTCTCCCCCCTCAGCCAGACATCCATAGATCCCCTCCCTCAACAGTATATCCCCCCAGCAACATAAGACCTACCCCCAGCAACAAAAGATCCTCCACCAGCAACAATAGACCTCCCCAGCAGCAATAGTCCAAGCAAAACTAGTCCTCCAGCAACAGTAGATCCCCAGCAGCTAGCATCAATAGTCTCTGCAGCACAATCCCAGCACCCTCTGCCAGTTACATACATTCAGTGCTGAAGGTGACGGAACTGCGTTTCCTCTGCGTTCCTCTGCGTTCCCGCTGAAAAAAAAAGCCCTGAGTCATAGGTAACCCAAGGAAAATATAAAAAAAACTTTATTTCACACATAGCCCCTGTACACACCTTACAAGAAGTTCCTAATACTATACCTGCTGATGCTTTAGGAAATGGATATCAGTCATGCAGTCCAGACTACGGGTCTCTGCTGACCCACACCACCATCTTGCTTCAGGAGCCGGTTGATGCTTCCCATTGACTCTCTGTTGGCTCCTTACTGCACGTGTGCGTGAGACACCATTTGGTTGGGAAATGGTGATGCAGGGGGCTATTTGGTTTGGGGAAGTGAAGAGCAGGGGGGCTATTTGGTTGGGAAGTGAAGAGCAGGAGCAGGGGGCTATTTGGTTGGGAAGTGAAGAGCAGGAGGGCTATTTGGTTGGGAAGTGAAGAGCAGGAGGGCTATTTGGTTGGGAAGTGAAGAGCAGGAGGGCTATTTGGTTGGAAGTGGGGGGGAGGGGGGCTATTTGGTTATGGGAGTGAGTAGTAGGGGGGACTGTTTTGGTTGGGAAGTGAGTAGTAGGGGGGGCTATTTGGTTGGGACGTGGTGGCAGAGATGGGGCTATTTGGTTGGGAAGTGAGTAGCAGGGGGGGCTATTTTGGTTGGGGAAGTGGGGAGCAAGGGGCTATTTCTTGGTTGGGAAGTGAGTAGTGGGGGGGGGGGTTATTTGGTTGGGAAGTGGGGGGCAGGGGAGCTATTTGGTTGGGAAGTGAGTAGCAGGGGAGCTATTTGGTTAGGAAGTGAGTAGCAGGGGAGCTATTTGGTTAGGAAGTGAGTAGCAGGGGGGGCTATTTAGTTGGGAAGTGGGGGCAGGGGAGGCTAATTTGGTTGGAAAGTGGTGGACAGGGGGGCTATTTGTGGTTAGAAGTGTATCGGGTGGGTCGGGGGGCTATTACTGATTGGGAAGTGTGGGGCTATTTGGTTGGGAAGTGAGGACCCGGGGGCTATTTGGTGGGAAGTGGCGGGCAGGGGGGGCTATTTGGTTGGGAAGTGGTGGACAGGGGGGCTATTTGGTTGGGAAGTGAGTAGCAGGGGGGGCTATTTGATTGGGAAGCTGGGGGGGGCTATTTGGTTGGGAAGTGAGAGGACCCGGGGGCTATTTGGTTGGGAAGTGGCGGGCAGGGGGGCTATTTGGTTGGGGAAGTGAGTAGCAGGGGGGGCTATTTGTGGTTTGGAAGTGAGGAGCAGGGGGGCTATTTGGTTGGGAAGTGAGGAGCAGGGGGGCTATTTGGTTGGGAAGTGAGGGGCAGGGGGGGCTATTTGGTTGGGAAGTGGGGGGGCAGGGGGGCTATTTGGTTGGGGGGGGGGGGGGGGCATATTTGCAGATATACTAATTGCAGTAACAGTGTTTCTTTAAAAAATTTTCTGTTCATTGTTTTCTTGGTTTAAACAACTAATTAGAAAACCATTTTATATATCTAGTAAATGTATTGGATCCAATTTAACAAAGTCCTGTAAATCATCTCCTGACATTTCCATTAATTAAGTGAACGAACAGAAAATATAAGATAGATGTTAATTCGGAATCGTTGTGATCGGGGCCAAGCTTGGAATCCATGCCAGTTTTGCTGGTTTTAATTGACGCTGTTTATGTCGCGTGTCTTTCATATTTACAGTTCATTTAAAAATATGGCTAATTGCAACAAAACCTCTAACTTTACTAATTACAGATTGCAGAACACAGAAAAATGTATTGCAGGCGAGTTTTAACTGCTTGCAGAATTTTTATAACTGCCGTCATAAATATAGCTTTTAATGACTTTGTTGTGCCCAAGACTTGTACAGCAGATAGGCTCAATAAACAAAGGAAACGTCGAAACAGACTTTTACCGGTAATAAAAAAAAATCAAAAACTTTTATCAGTATCAAAAAGTTTAAAGACTGCATTTATTTGTCTTAACCACTTCCAGTCCCGACACTTTCCCCCCCTTCCAGTCCCGACACTTCCCCCCCCTTCCAGTCCCGACACTTTCCCCCCCTTCCAGTCCGACACTTTCACTCCCTTCCAGTCCAGACACTTTCACTCCCTTCCAGTCCAGACACTTTCCCCCCATTCCAGTCCCGACACTTTCCCCCCTTCCAGTCCCGACACTTTCCCCCCCCTTCCAGTCCGGACACTTTCCCCCCTTCCAGTCTGGACACTTTCCCCCCCTCCCCCCCTTTCCAGTCTGGACACTTTCCCCCCCTTCCAGTCCGGACACTTTCCCCCCCCCCCTTCCAGTCCGAACACTTTCACCCCTTCCGGTCCAGACACTTTCACCCCCTTCCGATCCGGACACTTTCCCCCCCTTCCAGTCTAGACACTTTCCCCCCCTTCCAGTCTGGACACTTTCCCCCCCTTCCAGTCCGGACACTTTCCCCCCCCTTCCAGTCCAAACACTTTCACCCCCTTCCAGTCCGGACACTTTCCCCCCCCTTCCCCCCCCTTCCAGTGGACACTTTCACCCCCTTCCAGTGTGGACACTTTCACCTCCTTCCAGTCTGGACACTTTCCCCCCCTTCCAGTCCGGGACACTTTTCACCCCCCTTTCCAGTTCCAGTCCGGACACTTTCACCCCCCTTCCAGTCTGGACACTTTCCCCCCCTTCCAGTCCGGACACTTTCCCCCCCTTCCAGTCCGGACACTTTCCCCCATTCCAGTCCGGGCACTTCCCCCCCCTTCCAGTCCGGGCACTTTCCCCCCCTTCCAGTCCGGGCACTTTCCCCCCCTTCCAGTCCGGGCACTTTCACCCCCTACCAGTCCGGGACACTTTCACCCCCTTCCAGTCCGGACACTTTCCCCCCCCTTCCAGTCCGGACACTTTCCCCCCCTTCCAGTCCGGACACTTTCCCCCCTTCCCTTACACACAGTCCGGGACACTTTCCCCCCCTTCCAGTCCGGACACTTTCCCCCCCCCTTCCAGTCCGGACACTTTCCCCCCCTTCCAGTCCGGACACTTTTCCCCCCCTTCCAGTCCGGACACTTTCCCCCCCTTTCCAAAACTTTATTTTGGTGGTATTTATTCACCGCTTGTTTTCATTTTTTTTTTTTTTGCTATATAAATGAAAAAGTCCAAAAATTTTGAAAATAAGTGTTTTTCTTATAAAATCTTGCAAATAAATAATCTTTCTTCATAAATCTCGGCCAAAATTTCTTCAGTTATCTTTTTAGTAAAAAAAAGAAATAACCCAAATTAGTTTATAACCAAAAATTATAATTTTTTCTCATTTTTTTAACGTTTATTTTTTATTTTCTTTTATTATTATTATTTATGGGTTTTTTTTTTTAACATACTGTCATCCTAACAGTACAGGGTCACTATGGTGACACTGCACTACAAGTGGGGGGTGATGAAGATTTTTTCTCCTCCTACATTGCCAAAAGTATTGGGCCAGACCTCCAAATCATGTGATTCAGGTGTTCCAATCCCCTCCATATCATGTGATTCAGGCGTTCCAATCCCTTCCAAATCATGTGATTCAGGTGTTCCAATCCCCTCCATATCATGTGATTCAGGTGTTCCAATCCCCTCCCAATCATGTGATTCAGGTGTTCCAATCCCCCTCCATATCATGTGATTCAGGTGTTCCCATCCCCTCCATATCATGTGATTCAGGTGTTCCCATCCCCTCCAAATCATGTGATTCAGGTGTTCCAATCCCCTCCATGGACACAGGTGTATACAATCAAGCCCCTAGGCATGCAGACTGCTTCTACAAACATTGGTGAAAGAATGGGTCGCTCTCAGGAGCTCAGTGACTCCAAGCGTGGTCCCGTGATAGGTGGCCACCTGGGCAATAAGTCCAACATTTCCTGGCTACTAAATATTAAAGTCCATGTGTGTGGAAAGGCAGGTGGCCCAATACTTGGGGCAATATAGTGTGTGTGTGTGTGTATATATATATATATATATATATATATATATATATATATATATACATATACATACACACACACTCACTGGCCACTTTATTAGGTCCACCTGTTCAATTGCTCAGTAACACAAATTGCTAATCAGCCAAACACATGGCAGAAGGCTCAATGCATGTAGGCATCTAGTAGTGGTGAAGACGACTTGCTGAAGATTAGACCGAGCATCAGAATGGGGAAGAAGGGGGATTTAAGTAACTTTGGTTTTTGGTGCCAAATGGGCTGGTCTGAATATTTCACAAACTGCTGATCTACTGGGATTTTCCCGCACAACCATCTCTAGGGTTTACAGAGAATGGTCTGATAAAGAAAAAATCTCCAATGAGTGGCAGTTGTGTGGAGAAAAATGCCTTGTTGAGGTCAGAGGTCAGAGGAGAATGGGCAGACTGGTTCCAGATGATAGAAAGGTAACAGTAACTCCAATAACCACTCGTTACAACCAAGGTATGCAGAATACCATCTCTGAATGCACAACAGGTCCAACCTTGAGGCAGATGGGCTACAGCAGCAGAAGACCACACCGGGTGCCCACTCCTGTCAGCTAAGAACAGGAAACGGAGGCTACAATTCGCACAGGATCACCAAAATTGGACAACAGAAGATTGGAAAAATGTTGCCTGGTCTGATGAGTCTGGATTTCAGCTGCAACATTCAGATGGTGGGGTCAGAATTTGGTGCAAACAACGCAAAAGCATGGATCCATCCTGCCTTGTATCAACGGTTCAGGTTGGTGGTGGTGGTGTCATGGTGTGGGGGATCCATCCTGCCTTGTATCAGCGGTTCAGGCTGGTGGTGTCATGGTGTGGGGGATCCATCCTGCCTTGTATCAGCGGTTCAGGCTGGTGGTGGTGGTGTCATGGTGTGGTGAATCCATCCTGACTTGTGTCAGTGGGTCAGGTTGGTGGTGTTGGTGTCATGATGTGATGGATCCATCCTGCCTTGTATCAATGGTTCAGGCTGGATGCCTGTATCAATGGTGGTGTGTCATGATGTGGTGGATCCATCCTGCCTTGTATCAATGGTATCAGGCTGGTGGTGGTGGTGTCATGATGTGGTGGATCCATCCTACATTGTATCAATGGTTCAGGCTGATGGTGGTGGGTGTCATGGTGTGGGGGATCCATCCTGCCTTGTATCCACGGTTCAGGCTGGTGGTGGTGGTGTCATGGTGTGGGGGATCCATCTTGCCTTGTATCCACAGTTCAGGTTGGTGGTGTAATGGTGTGGGCGAGATTTTCTTGGCACATTTTGGGCCCCTTAGTACCAGTTGAGCATCATTTAAATGCCACGGCCTACCTGAGTATTGTTGCTGACCATGTCCATCCCTTTATGACTCCAGTGTCCCCATCTTCTGATGGCTCCATCCAGCAGGATAATGCACCGTGTCACAAAGCTCCAATCATCTCCAGCTGGTTTTTGACAATGAGGTCACTGGACTCCAACGGGCTCCACAGTCACCAGATCTCCATCCAATAGAGCACCTTCGGGATTTGGTGGAACGGGAGATTCCCATCATGGACGGTGCAGCCCACAAATCTCAAATGCGTGATGCTATCATATCAATATTGGAGCAAAATCTCTGAGGAACATTTCCAACACCTTGTTGGATCTAGGCCATGAAGAATGAAGGCAAAAGGGGGTCCAACCCGGGACTAGCAAGGGGACCTCATAGAGTGGCCGGTGAGTGTATATATATATATGTGTGTGTGTGTGTGTGTGTGTGTGTATATATATATATTGTGTGTGTGTGTATTTTTATATATATGTGTGTGTTTTTTTTTTTTTTGTTTATAATGTGTGTGTTTTTTGTGTTTATTTTTATATTATGTGTGTTTGTGTATGTATATATTTTGTGTGTGTGTGTTTATATATATATATATATATGTTGGTGTGTGTTTGTTTATATAAATATTGTGTTTTTTGTGTGTGTGATTTTTTTTTATATATATATATTTTTTTTATATATATGTTTGTTTGTTTTTGTTGTATATATATATTTTTGTATATGTGTTGTGTTTTTTTTTTTATATATATGTTTTTTTTAGTGTTTGTTGTTTTATATTTAGTGTGTGGTTTATTTTGTGTTGTATATATTTTATTTGTTGTGTGTGTGTGTATATATTTAATTTGTGTTTGTTTGTGTTTATAAATTTATTTGTGTTGGTTGGTGTTGTATATATTGGTTTTGTGTGTGTGTTTGTGTGGTTTTATTTGATTTAATTTTTGTGTGTGTGTGTATATATATATATATGTGTGTGTTTTATATATATATATATGTGTGTGTTTATGTGTTATTTTTTTATATATATATGTTTGTGTGTGTTATTATTATATTATTTTTTTATTTTTTTTTGTATTATTTTTTTTTTGGTGGTGTTGTGTTTTTTTATGTTTTTGTTGTATATATATATTTGTTTTTTTGTGTGTTATATATTGTTGTGTGTGTATATAATATTATTTTGTGTGTGTGTGTTTTATATTTATATATTGATGTGGTGTTGTTTGTGTATTTTTTTATATTTTATTGTTGTGTGTGTGTAGGTTATGTGGTGGTGTTGTGTGTTTATATATATATATTTCCCCAACTTTATTATGTGTAATTTGGTTTTATTATGTTGTGTGTGTTGTGTGTGTGTGTGTGTGTGTATATTTTTTTTGTGTTCACAATCTTTTGTGTAATATATTATATATGTTTAGTGTTTTGTGGTATATATATATATATTGTGTGTGTTTTATAGTATATATATAACATATGTGTGTGTGGTATATATATATGGACATTGTGTGTGTGTATATATGTGTGTATATATATTTATATGTGTGTTGTTAGAAAGTATATATATATTTAGATATAATATATATAATTTACACTTCCAATTCAGGCACCCTGGAATAAATAACCAAGGTCTGCTGTTGTAGACACACTCCCCCTGCCTTGCATCAGTAGGCAACCGCATTATTAATCACGCAATTGAATTGCGACAACCGTATAGCACATTTTATTATTACAATTATGTGGAGCGCAGTGGGTGGGAGTCACCAGTGAAAGGATCGCGAGGCCAAATAAAGTCTTTTCCAGTCCACATCCTATTGACGGTATATGTTTAAGTAACACTGAAGAGTTTTTTTTTTTTCCGCCGTCTGGCCGCTGTTTTGAAATTGCAGTAAGTGCGTTTCATTAAACGACATGTCATCAGTCACAAGTGCAGCGCAACATTCACAGCGAATCCTCTCACGCCGGAACCCGCTAATAATATATCGCTAAGCGGCGGAGTTATTAGCATCGTAGGGATATCGCTCCCGCGCGGCACTTACCAGCGTTAATTATCGTTTACGTCTCTCTGAATCATCCTGTCAATGGTAACATCATTTGCGGCTCGCTTGAATTAATCATTCCCGAGCAATATAGTTCCAAGTGACCCGCGTGTTAATGTGCCGCAGGGATCTGCGCAGGAGATTGTTTGTTTTCTACCAGCGGCGTGATCTACGGGAATGGGAAGAAATACTAAAAATACCACCCCGGGGAATGTTTCATGTTTCTTTTAATAAAAGGTATGTAAAGCTGAGCTAAACTCTCAACCGACATTAACTATGTGCGATCCTTATGCTGCTAGAGATAGGAAGGGAGATTATATGTACTGGTATTAAACCTCCACAGGAAACATTTATTATATTACAGCTTACCGATTCTTAGTTGTGACGTCTGCATTAGTTTTCTTTTTTTTTTAGGCTTTCTTTTTTCTATATACAGTTGTGTTCAAAATAATTGCAGTCAGACATCACTAACCGAATCAATCGCTGTGTTTTGGTGGAAATGATACTTCTACATGGCAAATAATTTCCTAGCAGGTGTAGTAGAGTCATAGAAATCCAACAGACCCAACAGTCATGACATGCATGCTGCTGATTCTGTGTCATTGAATCACTCATTGAAAGGGGCGTGTTCAAAATAATAGCAGTGTGGAGTTCTATTAGTGACGGCATTCATTCTTTGATAAACAGGTGGCAGTTATTGCCCTTATTTAAGGAAGGAAGGCAGCAAATGTTGGACATGCTGGTTACAGTGCATTTCTCTCTGAAATTCTGAGGAAAATGGGTCGTTCCAGACATTGTTCAGAAGAACAGCGTACCTTGATTACAAAGTTGATTGGAGAGGGGGAAAACATATAAAGAAGTGCAGAAAATGATCGGCTGCTCAGCTAAAATGATGGCAAATGCTTTAAAATGGCAACCAAAACCTGAAAGACGTGGAAGAAAGCGAAAAACTACCATTGGAATGGATAGAAGAATAGCCAAAATGGCGCGGACTCAGCCAACAATCAGCTCCAGGAAGATGAAAGAAGGTGTGACGTTCCCTGTGAGGACTCAGCCAACAATCAGCTCCAGGAAGATGAAAGAAGGTGTGACGTTCCCTGTGAGGACTGTTACAATTAGAAGACGCCGATGTGAAGCCAAGCTATCTGCAAGAAGTCCCCGCAAAGTCCCACTGTTGGAGAAAAGACATGCTGAAGAGGTTACAATCTGCCAAAGAGCACATTGACCGGCCTAAAGAGAAATGGCGCAACATTTTGTGGACTGATGAAAGTAAGATTGTTCTTTTTGGGTCTAGTGGGCGGAGACAGTTTGTCAGATGACCCCCAAACACTGAATTCAAGCCACAGTACACTGTGAAGACCGTGAAGCATGGTGGTGCAAGCATGGGGGATGTTTCTCATACTACGGTGTTGGGCCTATTTATCGCATACCAGGGATCATGGATCAGTTTGAATACATCAGAATACTTGAAGAGGTCATGCTGCCTTATGCTGAAGAGGAAATGCCCTTGAAATGGGGGTTCCAACAAGACAACGACCCCAAACACACCAGTAAACGTGCAACATCTTGGTTCCAGACCAACAAGATGGACGTTATGGAGTGGCCAGCCCAATCCCCGGATCTTCATCCAATAGAAAACTTGTGGGGTGACATCAAAAATGCCGTTTCTGAGGCCAAACCAAGAAATAGAGAAGAACTGTGGAATGTGGTCCAATCATCCTGGGCTGGAATACCTGATCACAGGGGCCAGAAGTTGGGGGACTCCATGCAACACAGATGTACAGCAGTTCTCAGAAACAGTGCGACTACAACCAAATATTCATGAAGTCATTCAAAGGAAAGCAAAATCTTCAAACATTTCTCAGTTTATATAGTGAATGTTTGAGTTTTAAAGAAGAATACAAACACGGCCATTTTTTTGAACCGTCTAATATTCACTTTTCTTCCATTTTTTTAGAGGAACGACACAAATTTGATGTATTTTTCTTCATGTTGTGATTTGGAATAGAATGTGTCGTGTTCCCAATGCATTTGTGTGGATGGAAATAAAAGCTATTAGAAGGATTTTCAGCTTTAGTCACTTTTTTCAACACACTGCTATTATTTTGAACACAACTGTATATCTGGTGATCCGTCCCAGTAAGTCTGTTGTTTTTCAAGAGAACAAGCTCTCTTCCAGATGTATACATTTACAGGGAGGAGACAAACCATTTGACACTGACAGGGGTGCTTACAACGGTCAGCTTTATTTATGAAAAAACTTTTATCCCAGAAAGGAATTATAAAGTGTGAGATAGAGTTTGGTTTTCATGTGTATGTTTGATTTTTAGTGTATTTAAATTTGCTAGTACATCTAAAATTCCCCTCCTCCGCCCCCACCTTCCTAGACTAACAATACTGCTGTCCAAAGGTGCTCCTTCACCCAGAATGAGGGCACTCTAATACAGAAAGTGTGTTACTAGCCAGATCATCAGGTGAAAACAGAGGGGAAAAAAAGCCTTAAAAAATAAAAACTAATGCAGCCACCACACCTAATGATTGCTAAGCTGCAATACAAGGTGCGAGTGAGACTTTCGCTCTGTTACAATAGGTTTCCGATCCCTCCACTGGCCTGCACTCAGTGTCCTCCACCCCTCTCTACTGATCCCTCCACTGGCCTCCACTCAGTGTCCTCCACCCCTCTCTGCCAATCCCTCCACTGACCTCCACTCAGTGTCCTCCACCCCTCTCTGCCGATCCCTCCACTGACCTCCACTCAGTGTCCTCCACCCCTCTCTGCCAATCCCTCCACCACTGACCTCCACTCAGTGTCCTCCACTCCTCTCTGCCGATCCATCCACTGACCTCTACTCAGTGTCCTCCACCCCTCTCTACCCGATCCTTCCACTGAACTGCACTCAGGGTCCTCTACCCCTCTCTGCCGATCCCTCCACTGACCTCCACTCAGGGTCCTCTACACTCTCTATGCCAATCCCTCCACTGATCTCCACTCAGTGTCCTCCCCCCCACTCTGCCGATCCCTCCACTGGCCTCCACTCAGTGTCCTCCACCCTTCTCTGCCGATCCCTCCACTCAGTGTCCTCTACCCCTCTTTACCGATCCTTCCACTGACCTCCACTCAGGGTCCTCTACCCCTCTCTACCGATCTCTCCACTGACCTCCACTCAGGGTCCTCTACCCCTCTCTGCCAATACCTCCACTGACCTCCACTCAGTGTCCTCCACCCCTCTCTGCCAATCCCTCCACTGGCCTCCACTCAGTGTCCTCCACCCCCCTCTGCCAATCCCTCCCACTGGCCTCCACTCAGTGTCCTCCACCCCTCTCTGACAATCCCTCCACTGACCTCACTCAGTGTACTCCACCCCTCTCTCTGCCAATCCCTCCACTGGCCTCCACTCAGTGTCCGCCACCCTCTCTGCCGATCCCTCACTGACCTACACTCAGTGTACACCACCCCTCTCTACTGATCCCTTCCACTGACCTCCACTAATGGTCCTCCCCCCCTCTCTACCAGATCCCTCCACTGACCTCCACTTAGGATCCTCTACCCCTCTCTACTGATCCCTCACTGCCTATCACTATGTGGTCCTCCACCCCCTCTACATCTATCCACTGGCCTCTGCAGTGTCTCCCATCTGCTATCTATGGAACCCCCAACTCCAATCTCTCCAGAGCCTCTCCCATCTTCTGGAACCCCCTTCTCCAATCTGTTCAGAGTCCTCCCATCCTTTGGAACCCCTAATTCAATCTCTTCAGAGCCTCAATCCTCTGTAACCCCTACTGCAATCACTTCAGAGCCTCTTCTGTCCTCTGAAACTCCCTTCACCATTCTCTCCAGAGGGTCTCCCTTTATCTAGAACCTCCTATTCCAATTTCTCTCTAGTTCAATCTCTACAGAGCCTCTCCTATCCTCTGGAACCCACTACCCCAATCTCTCCTGAGCTTCTCCCATCCTCTGGAATCTCCTACACCAATCTATCCAGAGCCCCTCCCATCCTTAAACTCCCTACTCCAATCTATCCAGAATGTGTACCATCCTTTGGAACACCCTACCACAATCTGTCCAGAGCCTCTCCCCATCCTCTGGAACCCCCTACTCCAATCTCTCCTGAGCCTCTCCCATGCTCTGAAATTCCCTACCCAAATCTGTCTAGAGCCTCTCCCATCCTCTGGAACCCTCTACTCCAATCTCCAGAGCCTCTCCCATTCTCTGGAACCCCTTACTCCAATCTATTCAGAGCCTCTCTCATCCTATGGATCCCCCTACTCCAATTGCTCTAGAGCCCTCTTCTATCCTCTGAAACCCCCTACTCCAATCTCTCCAGAGCCTCAATCCACTGTAACCCCTACTGTAATTGCTTCAGAGTCTCTCCTGTCCTCTGAAACTCCCTTCCCCATTCTCTCCAGAGTGTCTCCAATCACCTGGAACCCTCTACTCCAATCTCTTCACAGTCTTTCCCCATCCTCTATAACTCTCCAGAGCCTACTCTCCTATACCAATCTCTCCAGAGCCTCTTCCCATCCTCTGGAATCTCCTATACCAATCTATCCAGAGCCTCTTCCATCCTCTGGAATCTCCTAAACCAATCTATCCAGAGCCCCCATCCCATCCTCCTAAAACTCCCTACTCCAATCTTTTCAGAATCTGTACCATCCTTTGGAACCCCCCCCCCTATCTCTCCAATCAGAGCCTCTCCCAATGCTCTGAAACTCCTTACCCCAGTCTCCTTCTTTGTCTGCCTTCCATCAATTGCTGAAAACATATATCTTCTGGGTGGTCTATTACACTTCCACCTAAGAACTGAACTTTCTGCATCAGCTCATCCCCCAAAGTTATTAACTTTTGTATCACTTGACCCTCCCATTGTAGATTGTAAGCTCTCAACCCTCTGATCCCTCTTGCACTGATTTGTAATGTCACTTTACTGTTTTACTTTGATTCGTAAAGTGCTGGACAAACCGTTATCTACTGTAAATCCAATATACTAATAATAATAGAAATATGGATGGACCTCGTTTTACCTAATAAAGTCTTCCTCGATTAAAAGAAAATCAATAAATATGGATGAAACTACATACTGGATAGCTAAATGGCTGAATTTGCAGAGCTTGTTATTTTTGGTCTTTTTAAAACTTAACCCCTTGATGCCGAAGTAACACAAATATGCGGCCTCACAAAACGGGGCTTTTTTCCGTACCTGTCGTTGTGCTGAGAGCGTTGCCATACATCGCGTACCCAGCACAAAGACCGGGGTGTCACTGAGAGCCCCGGGTCCCGTTCTAAGGATCGGGACCCGGGACTCCCAATTCTGGGTCATATGATCGCTGTGATAGCCTCTGATTGGCTATCACAGTGATCAGTCACTGTACAGCCCGGCCCCCTTGTTTTTTTCTCTCTCTATGAATGGAGAAGAGAGATACATTGTATCATTATATACATTCCATTATGCATTGTATCATTATATACATTCCTATTATACATTGTATCATTATATACATTTCATTATACATTGTATCATTATATACATCCTATTATACATTGTATCCTTATATACATCCTATTATACATTGTATCCTTATATACATCATATTATACATTGTATCCTATATACATTTTCCATTATACATTGTATCATTATATACATTATTATACATTGTATCATTATATACATTCCATTATACATTGTATCCTTATATACATATTATACATTGTATCATTATATACATCCTATTATACATTGTATCATTATATACATTCCATTATACATTGTATCATTATATAAATCCTATTATATACATTGTATTGTTATATACATTCTATTATACATTGTATCATTATATACATCCCATTATACATTGTATCATATATATATATATATATATTATATATATATATATATAATATATATAATATATATCTTATTATACATTGTATCATTATATACATCCCACATTGTATCATTAAATATATATATATATATATATATATAAGAAACTAATAATTAACATTATATATATACATATATCCTATTATACATTGTATCATTATATACATCCCATTATACATTGTATCATTATAATATATATATATATATATATAAATATATATATACATTATATATATATGTATACATATATCCTATTATACATTGTATCATTATATACATTCCATTATACATTGTATCATTATATTACATCCCATTATACATTGTATCATTATATACATTCCATTATACATTGTATCCTTATATACATTCTATTATACATTTTATCATTATATACATATTATACATTTTATCACTATATACATATATACATTGTATCATTATATACATTCCATTATACATTGTATCATTATATAAATCCTATTATACATTGTATCATTATATACATTCCATTATACATTGTATCATTATATAAATCCTATTATACATTGTATTGTTATATACATTCTATTATACATTGTATCATTATATACATCCCATTATACATTGTATCATTATATATATATATATATATATATATATATATATATATCCTGTTATACATTGTATCATTATATACATCCCATTATACATTGTAATCATTATATACATCCCATTATACATTGTATCATTATATACATCCCATTATACATTGTATCTCTCTAACTCCTGGTTTAGAGAAAAAAAAATGTTTGTAAAGAAAAAAAAAATATTTAAAAAAAAAAACAAATACCCAGATCAAGGTTTGATCTAGTTCAGTGCCAGGGTTATTGTTTGGGACAAGGTCAGGGTCAAAGGTCAAGATTAAAAAAAAAAACAAATTTGGTATCAGTGTCAGTGTGTTTTAGGTAAAAAAAAAAAAAAAGACAAAAACAAAATGCGCACTATTGTTTCTGGGCTATAGTACGGGTGCAAACAACAAATAACATACACATAGATGGTATCGCTGCGATCGTCCAGAGCTGGAAAATTTATTTTGGGTTGTTCTTTGGTGGTAGGTTATGGTAGTAACAAGAAACACACAGCTAAATAAAACAAAATATTTTTTTTTTACTATTTTGGTCCAGTTTTCCTTTGATAATAAAACAAAATCAGGAGATATCCATTACCATTTACCACCAAATGAAAGCCAAATTTGTCCTGAAAAAAACGCGGTATAATCCACCCGGATGTACAAAGTCGTTGTGATGATACGGACGGTTTTACTAACACAGGTCAATGTTGTAAAATTGTGCTTAGGGCATTAAGATTTATTTTACCGATAGGCATGAAGGGGTTAAAATAAAAAAAAAAAAAAAAAGGAAAAAAAGGTATACGATGTGAAACTGCCATACTATAACCCAGTGTATGGGAAGTGGAATGTAATGTAATTTGTGATGGTGGCTCTTCGATGTTTTGCCCATACAACCCTGTAATCGGTGACATTAACATTCAGCATGCACATCCTACGCGCCGTAGTGGACTCATCTCCACCTTGACAACAAGACGTCCAGACAACAAGGCGTCCAGTCCCGGGGGGAAAAACGAAGACCGTTGGGAAACACAATTTCATGCTTTAAGTGTTTCTTCTTTGGAGTTCTCGACTTAATGCTCTGCAATCCCTAGAGAGAGTTATTACATCCCGATGCTACAAATATGAGACGTAACAAGGCCTGCATGTCTGTCTGTTTCCTGCTAATTAGGCGACGCGTTTCATTGCTGATCTCTCTGGAAGACCTCTCTCAATAATGCGGTACATGAAGTGTCCCGCTTTTATCCAGCGTTATGTGATTTAGCCGTTTTCTTTTCTTTGAACCTAAATCTTTTTACGCGGAACATCAGCGCGGTTTGTTCCGGAGCTCTTCTGCTCTGTTCCCATGAATACTCTTCTTCCTATTACATTATAATACGTGTGAATTTCTGAGGGATTCATCCATTGCTGTTCAATAAGTCTTACTTGTGTAGCACTACCCCCTTAGGGAGCGCTGAGTTTGCACAGCCAGGCAACACACATTTTCCACACTTTGCACACTTGGAGGCAGTAAACAGTTCTTGAGCTTGTATTTTGTTGTTTTTTATCAAGGGGTTAACAACTTGGATGGGGTCTAGGGGGATGCCCAAGGAACCGTAGAACTTGAGGATGAACTTCTTAGCAACTATGTACAAAAATGTGGACTAGCAAAAAAATATAGCATTGTCCCTTTTTGGTGTACCTCCTCAGACCACGGATGAATCCTCCTCTTCCACAGCTGTACTGAGGGCATCCCTAAACAAGAGGTCCCAGAAGCTTGCAGTTAAGCAGTCCCGAATGCGGACCAGTTGAGTCTTGCACCTGACCGCCCTTCCCCTTATCTGGCCCAGGGGGTGTAGAAGTACTCACACTGTCCTGTCCTGTTAGCGTGGTGGGTTGATAGCTGTTTTCAAGCTGTCCACTAGGCCTTCCCTGCTGCTCAGGATGTCCTCCGCAGGAGAATCTGGC